TAATTGTGGACGATTATTACCTATCTAGCAAAAAAAGCCTCGTTTAAAAAAAATAGTTACAGGTTCATCGGAATTTACATAAATGACATGAGTCATTTTTTACCAACTAGGGGCGAAACTTCCAAGAAATAAACTATTTAAAAATATTTTAGTGCCTGTTTTTCGTACGTTCAGAAAACTATTATAATTGAACAAAATAACAGGCGTTAATATAATCCTTAAAATAAGGTTGACGTGTTTAATTACAATTTTGAAGACCTCGGTAAAATCAAGGTAAAGTTAGATTATATTTGCTATGTCATTTAAATTAAGAGCAAAGGATGTGCCACCCAAGTTGCAATTAGAAATCATTCAATCAGGAGGTTACTCCGACAAGAATAGAGAGTTTTACCAATGATTGAGTCCTCGTTTACCGAGCATTCGAAAGTGTGCGGGAGAAATCATTTCAATGTTTGGGACCACTTACGCATCCGAGCAATTTCTTCGAAAATGAATCTGAAGAAAACTGTTCAGAGATCACGTTTGACAGATTCACATTTAGTCTGTTGTAAGAATAGTGTGCAGCCAAACTGTACAACCAAACATTGAAAGAATTTCACAAAATCAGTTTTATGAGTGAGAATTCAAAGACGTTTTCGAAGAAGTGAATATTTTTTCTATTAAACAACCGAGAGTGGAATTATTTTTATTTTTATATTATTATTTTATTTCATGTTTATTTTCATTATCTAATTCTACTTTGCGTGAACATTTTTGCCATAATATAATCATTTTTGGCAGGAATATGTTTCTATAGCAATTCTTTCAAAAATCAATTTGTGTTATGTTTAATTAAAGAATTGTGTTATTGATGTTGGTAGCAGTAATGTTAAAGAAATTATTGAAACAACTTTGTAGTTTCTCGTCTGTAGTAAAACCTCTCCTTACATTTAGCTCACCCCTCTTACTGGCGGACAACAACCTTCGTTCTTAATCAACACGTAGGAACTGTTGCGCAGCAATTATTTTTAAAGCAATTACTGCTTTATGCAAACGCGAAGTCAAAATCCTTCGGATTGAAAGTGTTAATATATTTTCAATTGAAAAGTTCAAATATTAATAGATTTGTTATTCGTCAGGAAAGGTAATTCTAATATTTCACTTGGAAACAATAAAAATTCACCAGATGACAGGTATCGAGTGAGGTACCCTCCCCGGGACCATTTCTACAACCCTTTTTAAAATTCGCGGCAGTTGTTCTGGTGCCCGCTAGCTCTAGGAAGCTCGTAACCTTGTCGGCGTCCTTGACATGCCTGGAGTAGACTGTGCTCGCCATTTGTTTCTAAATTTTATTATTATTATTATTATTATTATTATTATTGTATTTATTATTATTGTTATTAGTTACTGCTACTTTGTGGTTGGTTTTAAATATTAACAGTTGTTTTTCGTAATGAACCGAGATAAAAAGAGACACAGAACATGCTTGATGATTCTTTAAAATATGTCCATTTTCTTGCAGTAGCCAACTACTTGAAAACACGTTCCAATCTAAGTACTTGTGGATAAATATATAATTTAATATATGTAGTAATTGTATATTGATGCATATAGTGATACATTTACCCAGTAACAGGTAATTAAATGTAGGTTGTGCACAAAATAATTATAACAGTAGATGTGTGCAAAATATATTATGTAAAAGGCACATAATGTACTATAATTGTGGAAGTGGCTCCTAGGAATTACTATTTATTAAATAAACATTTTCTTTATTCATAATTAATATTCTTTAATTTAATTGGAACGGAGTTCCTTTTCTTACTGCTAATTCTTTTCTCGGTAGCCTCCTCCTTCAATTCCCGAATTCCGCACTGCGCAGACTGTCGTTTTGCGATCGCAGTAATGTAATCGCCGATTTAAATTGCATGACACTTGCTGGGTTTACAGAGGGAGCTCTTCTATCCAACGACTCCCTTCCTCACTCATCAAGAGCCACGAAATTTAAAAGGACTTCATTGATCTGCGACCGGGTGCGGTGAGCGCGAACATTGCACAAGGCCTGTTTTAAACTATCCCCCCTTCTTCGCCTTCCACTCTCTTGCCAGCCTATCGCATGGCCTGCGAAGTTTTGCAGGTGTGATTCATTGGGCGAGGAAAGGTGAGCTAGTTTCCTCGGCTAGCCACGGAATCAGTTCGGCTGAGACTTCGGAAGCAGGCACACGTGTGTACGTGTTATAGGGTATTTTCGTTTTTTCACTTAACATGTCAGCGCTAATTCACTTAACGTTTTTTAGTTAAATTAACTTAATTGTAGAGTCCGTATATGATTTCGCCTATTTAATTTAGTTTTTACACAAGAAGGATTTGACATTTGTGAACTGATGACTTGGAAGTGAGAACAACTACAGTCTTCGAATCCGGATGAATACTTGCTGTATTACGGAAGGTGAATGTCCAAGTAATGTATATGATTGTTTTATTTATTGTTTTGTGGCTTTTTGCTAAATATTTAGTAATTTTCAAGTGTTTCTGTTTAAACATGGACTCTTTCTGATTTAAAACATACAATTTTTGTTCCTGCCTTGTATGTATGTAAACAGCTTGTTAGTTTTCATTAGTTTATCGAATTATATGTACAGTTTCATCATTCGCTTCTCAGGTTCTATTAGAAACAAAATTAGGACGTTCTTTGAAAATTTAAAACTGCTAGCAAGCATCCAATTTATCTTGTTTTAAACACGCATCTAACCTCAATTATAGATCAAAACTTTTGTGAATCGAAATAGAGCAATAGAACAACGTTTAAAATTCGATTTATGGACAAATAAAGTAATTTGTTACTGCAGCACTTGTTTCCTGGATTTACTTGTAATTATAATAATATATAATATTATAATAATAATCGAAATCGCAAACGTTTTCCAATCTCCAAAATATTGAACATTGAAGCAAAAATTGCTCTATTCGAGTAAAAAGAAATGAAGGAATCTTTTGGGGTCGTTTTTGATAAAATCTTGTTTATTTTTTACCATTGAGCTACTTGTCACTCTTAATCTTACCATCTGCTTTTTGAGCATTGAAATGAATGGCATCGCCAAAATTTGTTTGTCAAAGTAATGTGGCCTAATGCACGAAGTATGACGCAGGCGGATTTTCGGCACTAGCTGTGTAGCTAGGTCGAATTCGGCCACTGTCGGGAGGAGAATTCCAGCGGCCGGCAGCTGTGATCTGTAGTTTTCCGTGGTTTCTATGAACAGTACTAGGCAAGTGTCGGAACTGTTCCCAAACAAACAGGCCACGAACTGCGCGCGATCTTTTCTTCCTCTTCTGAGACTCCATCTCACCCCTGCATCACGCATTCATTTACACATGCATGCACTAAACTACCGCACTCCGGAGCTTAAAACTTGTTCCAGCTGGGGCGTTTTTCCTCTATTCACCCCTCCCCTTCCCTCCCCTCCCCTCTCCCCTCCTTTCGCTTTCCACACTCAAAAAGTACGGCCTAAAATTGAAACAGAATCTCTATAACTTGAGATCAGTTTGCGATGTACTATAGGCATCAAAATGTCGCTGGAGAGATCTCGAACTTTATGTGGATTTTTTTACATTTCCTCTTAATATAGTTATGTTCCCTTCCGAATTCAGGTTGGTGATACGTTCAGGTTTCTTGAACGAAGAAAACGGGGACCAGTGATGTGATGGCTTGAGAATTAGTCTTCTATCGCCGGGGTCATAGTTCCATCCTCTGAATTGCTGTGGTGTTTGCGAATGACAGCGATTGATGCGAGCTCTCGGGAGATATTTTCAGGGTTCTCAGATATACACGTACCACTTCACCATTTGCAAGTCATTATTGCTATCATTACCCGTTTGATTACTTATGGGTCTTCATGGCCTCAACAGTTGAAGTAAACCCCAATTAGTGAATAACAATTAAATGTTCAAAACAAGTATGATGTTGGAGTAGGAATCTCCCTCAAGCAGACGTGTTTGTCGGCGCTGGATCTCACCATCCAGGCTTTTCGACATTACCTAGATTGCTAGGTCGAATTCAGTCGCTGTCTGGAGGAGAAGTCTAGCGGCCAGACGCTCTGATCGGTAGTTTTCTGTGGTTGCTCCGATCAACACCAGGCGAATGCTGGAGCAGTACTCTAACCAACGGGCCACGGACCGCGCGCAATCGTTTCTTCCGCTTCCTTGCCCTATCCCCGCTTCTTACGTACACACACTTACATGCACTACCATACCACATAAGTCGGGAGACCGGTAGGAAGCGTAGAGCTTTGTCCCGGCAGGGACGGTGCTCCGCTGGTTGGAGATACCTGGTTTGGGAAAACCCCGCTAGCCGACAGGTAGGTCGGCGACAGATCTCACCAACCAATCGGGAGATTCACCGCCACCTCCCAATGAAAAAACACCCAGAATACTTACCTCTGCCTCCACGCCAAGGCCCCGCCAGCTCCCTAGTACCGGCTCTCCCATTGCAGTCGCTTTCAGGATCTTTATCGCCCGTCTTCCCCGAACGACCCGCCCATCGCCCTCTCGATGCCCCTACCGCGTGCGCAGAATATCACCCCCCCCGGACTCCGCTACTGCCTTCGCCTTTGTGCGATCGCCTCTTTGGTGCCGCTGTAGCAGTCGCAGGCTCTCAGCAACAAGTGGTCGGACGGAGACGCATGCGCAGGTTGCCCTTTGCCGCCCCCCAACACTCCCCTCTCTTCTCCTCCCCCATCCTAATCCCTTCCATCACCACTCCGCTCCCCTCTCTTTTCGCTTCCCTCGCCCAACAAGCACGGCATAAATCTGATATTCGCAATAACTGTCATAGTTCTAAATTGCAATAACTCGAGAATTATACGAAATTACTAAAGACACCAAAGGTTTACTGGAGGGATTTCCCGTCAGGTGGATTTTGTTTTTCATTACAAATGCGCCCAAAACAGTCATGAATATGTCTTCGTTCGAATTCTGGCTGGTGATATATTCTCCTTTTTTGAACGAAGAGAAGGGGGAACATAATGGCTAGCGAGTTAGTCTTCTACCGCCGGGGTCCGGGTTGCATCCTCCGGCGAATTGATGTGGAGTTTGCAATTGACAAAGCGAGCCCTCTGCAGGTGTTTTCAGAGCTCTCCGGTTTACGCCTACACGGCATCTCTCTCCCTGTTATTGTTCATAAAGTCATTATTGCTATCATCTCGCCTTATCACTTATGGGTCTTAATGAAATCAGCTGTCGAAGTAAATCCCAATAAGAACAAAAAAATTAAATGAATAAATATAACAAAAGTTTTGTGGTCTTTTCATTCCCCTTCCAGAGCTCATGCTGAAGTAGCTTTCGTTGATGTAAGTGAGTTCTCAATGTGGGTGTCGTGCTGCCGATTTATTTAGAAGTACATACAAAATCTGTTGTAATATTATAAGATACACCTTAGAGAAAACGACTTCAAAGGCGGAGCTTGCCTCTCGAAGCAAATGAACTTCCCCGTCCAATTTTACTTTTTCGTATACTACATAGCATAGATAAAGTGTTACAGGAAAATAATTAATTTTTTTTTCAGAAAAATTCATGTTGTGGATTCCAGATGGTTTCGTTCCCTATCTATGTGCTAAGATAGCAGTCCCAAAAAACGCTAAATACGTTTTTCAATAAAAAAATCTTCAGGTCAGATCCTAAAGCAAAGTGTCAATTCCCCACCAGGAGACGTGTCCAGTGACACCTCTTGTCTCGATTGGTGCATGGGAAGTGGCCGAACCGTGAGTATCGGCAACGCACACGCGCGCACGCACGCACACGCGAACGCCCCCACACTCGTACACACGCTCGCACACGCACGCCCCCACACTCGTACACGCACGCCCCCACACGCCCCCACACTCGTACACACACTCGCACACGCACGGACACACTTGTACACACACACACGCACACGCACGGACACACTCGTACACACACGCACACGCACGCACACACACTCGTACACACACGCACACACTCGCGCGCTTACACACAGCTCGCGCGCGCTTACACACACTCGCTCGCGCTTACACACACTCCCGACACGCGCTACGCGCCACACTCGCGCGCGTACACACCACTCGCGCGCTTACACCACCACTCGCGCGCTTACACACACTCGCGCGCTTACACACACTCGCGCGCTTACACACACTCGCGCGCTTACACCACCACTCGCGCGCTTACACACACTCGGCGCCGCTTACACACACTCGCGCGCTTTACACCACACGCTACCGCGCGCATTACACCACACTCGCGCGCTTACACACACTCGCGCGCTTACACACACTCGCGCGCTTACACACACTCGCGCGCTTACACACACTCGCGCCGCTACACACACTCGCGCGGCTTACACAACACTCGCGCGCTTACACACACTCGCGCGCTTTACAACGCCTACACACACTTCGCGCGCTTACACACAGCTGCGCAAGCGCGCTCTACACACACTCGCGCGCTTACACACACTCCGCTTACTCGCGCGCTTACACACACTCGCGCGCTTTACACACACACACGCGCACCACACACTCCGCGCCTGCGCGCACACACACCACACCACTTGCAGTTACTCAAATACTGTATAGGGAGTATTTTTGGTTTCGCGAATCGGCCATCATGGGGCCATGCGCGATATGTGCATCCCACGGGGGTCAGTCATGATTAGGAGTAGGTGCACGTTACTTTTCTATTGGGGGGGTCAGTATTTAACGTTGATTCAATTGTTACACTCAAAGATTCTAAGTCCTGGATGATGAGGTTATGATGATGATGTGATAGACACAAACATAGACTCACACAATATTATTAATTATTATTTATTATTGTTATTATTATTGTTGTTGTTATGTAATCAGATATAATATGCTATGAATTCATAGCACATTATTTTCATTTATTGTCGCACGCCTTGCATAAGCGTGTTACAGTGGATTTCAGGTTTTTCAAGTCACTACGTTTGGACTCCTTTTTAATAAGTTTATTTTTTGCTCTGTATTTACGTAGTTGGGTAAAGAAATATCGGGAAACGCTCTATGAATCACATGATGATGAACGCTATCTGCTGCTCTTGTTTTGCTGTTCGGATGCGCGGAGGGTTCCCGTCTTGATTTTGATTAAAAGTGCACGAGTGGGCGGGCTGCGATTATGCTCTTTTCCGTTTAAAGATATGTCGTAGATATGACTTTCATACATTCTGTAACGATCGCTCGCACAAATCACATGCTATGAAAGTGTATTTTGAAAACAGGAAATCGTAAAATGTCTTCAACAATACCACCGCTTGGTTTTACCATAAACGAGGGAATGGCGTATCAGGACTCGCAATGAAACAAACAAGGCAGTCTCGTAACTGTTGTCGATTCGAATGAAAAGAACGAGTAGAGAAACTGGCCTTTATGTGCATGAGTTTATGATGACCTGCAAAAATGAGGTCAAAACCTAAAGAATTTGATCAAGAAAATGGTTGTTTGACATTTCCAGTTATCTCCTTGTATGTAGTAGATGTCGAATGATGGTTGAACTGAAGAGATAAATATTTTCCCGAGATGTAAAAAGTTGCGTCAGGCCGTATGACGTCTCTGTGGAGGTGTTCGTGTGGTAGTGGGTGCATGTTTTGCTCTGTCCGGGTCGCCCGCCGCCGCCGCCCGCACCCGGGCAGCGAGCTGAGCTGTACAGTGGGCCTCTCGAACTAAGCTACGCGCGCCATGTTTCAGGTGGGAGTCGCCCCGCACCCGCCCCTGCCCCCGCGCTCGTCCCGCCCTCTGAGCGCGGAACGCAGCCGCGCCGCGCCTCCAGCATGAGAGGATCGCGTGATGCACGCCGAGTCCGGAGGGCCCGCGGGAAGCAGACGTCCCGCGCTTAACGCGCAGTTCCCGGCGCGCCGCGCCGCCCGCCGGCAAATCGCGGCGCTCGCATCGCGGACGCCGACGTCACCGTCACCGTCGCCACCACCACCGCCACCGCCCGCGCCCCCGCGTTCCCCTCGCCCCCGCCTCCGACGGGCGATCGACACCGATCGCCGAGCGGCGAGAGCGGGGAGCGCGTCTCCCGGCCCCGTCACCGCCACGCGGGCCACTTCAACCCCCCGTGCGCGGCGCGCCCGCCTGTCCGTCGCCCACGCGTCACCGGCGCGCCCTGCGCAACCTGCCCAGCCGCGAGTCGGCCGCAGCAGCAGCACTCTCCCACCTCCGCCTCAGCCTCCGCCTTCGCCTCCCGCGTCTCTCGCCTCCCCGCACGTCCTCGCACTCGGCGCGGGGCCGGCGCACCTTCGTCATGGCCGGGCGCAGCTTCGTCAAGTCGACGGCGCTGTTCCCCGCGCAGCCGCGCGGCGCGGCGGGCAGCGGCAGCAGCGACGGCGGCGGGGCGAGGAGGGGCGCGCCGGGGGCGGCCTCGCGCGCAGACGCAGCGCGCGCGCCGCCCATGCCGCCGCCGCCGCCGCCGCCGGCCGCCGCCGCCACCGCCGCCGCCTCCTCCGCCGCCGCCGTCGGCGCGCGCTCGCGCTCGCCTCGCGCTCGGGCTCCGTGTCGCCCCGCTGCCCAACGAGACGCGCCGCTTTCCCGGCGTGCGAGGCGCGAGGTCGCGTACGAGGGCCTCCTCGGCAAGAATTACCCGCTGTCGCCCTGCGTCGCCTGGAATGAGACGAATGGGGCGTGGGCCGATTACTTGAGCGGCGGCGCCGCGCAGCGGGAGCGCGGCGCGACATTGCGGAGCCCCG